ATTATTTCGGTTTTTGTCATATGCATTATTTCGGGTTTGAGTCGAAACTGTGCATGTATGCATTAATTCGGTTTTTGTCATATGCATTATTTCGGTTTTGAACCGGAACTCTGCATGTATGCATTACTTTGTTTTGCTCATATGCGTTATTTCGTATGCACAGTTTCCATATGCACAATTTCAGGGTGCCATTTCAAAGATATGATAAATTCAAAAAATTATTTAAAAAATTCAGTTCAAAGCAGAATAAAAATGGGTACCAAATGAAAGAGAAAATTCTTTAGGATTTAAAAAAATTAAAATATTTTGGGTTCACAAGGACGAACAGATATTGAAATGCCCTTTTAATCAATTTTATTGTTTTAAGCTAATAATGTTAGAAGGACTATATTCGAGGACGTTGTCGAGTTTATATTAGTCCTTAACGTATAATTTTTTCAAAATATATATTGCAAAATTTCAAGGATATTCACGGATACAATTTTTAAGGACATTTCCAAAACCTTACGCACCAAAAAATTGTCTACAGAATCTTCACATTAATTTGATACCCATACTGTTTTCCTAAGTACAGTGCACTAAATTTTTTAAACCATTTTCTGAATTACTCATATTATTCAATTTTCAAAGTCATTTAAAAAATCCTGACGTTAGCGAGAAAAGCTAAAAACGCTATTTTACTGCATATATTTGCCCAGATTTTTTTGTGTGTAAAATTGCCTGTCGCACGGTGTTATGTGTATGTATAATTAGATAGACATATGTATATAAAAAAAATATTATATTTAAATAAACAAAAGAAATATAGCTAAACTGGTCAATATAAGGTATTATATTATTGCCACCATTGCAAATTACAAATCCCGAAAATCCCGAGATTCTTGGCAAATAATCCCGGGATTTTCGGGACTTAAAAACATCCCTACCCTGCTTCCTATATCAAAATATGAGTTTTCATAAAAAGTGGACTTAACAACTTTTCACTCTAAGCTAGCGATATATTTATTTTTACTAGAGTGTATGTATAAAGTAATAAACAAAAGATTGAAAGAAAGAAACTAAATAAAATTAATCAGTGCGTATATGCCGCGAGCGATAGTAGTTATAATCATAGATAATTGTATGAAAATAGTAAGGCGTATAAATATACAAGTGAATAAACTTACAATACCATCTACTGGAGAAAGTATATGTAGATATGTATATAGATACATTAAGAAAGGACGTTCAAGTAGAAGATAATACACATATCAGGATAGTACGTAGGTACAAAGCAGGGTTATTGCGAATATTCGCATTCGCATTAGCAACCGCGGAACTTTCGCATAAATTTTAACATTCGCATTCGCATTCGCAATAATCAATGGGAGCTGGTAAAACGTATATCTGGCAAAAAAAAAAAATGTAGCCAACATTATTTGCCTGTGGAGATGCTACGTAAAGACTGTCCCCCTACGCCCACCTACTTTCTTAATTTAAAGACAAAGAGTAAGATAATAGTTATTATTTCCAGCGGAAATGGTCAACGGCTGGCTATAAAGAGAATTGACTATTTGCTCGTTAAAAGATTACCTTTAACTATCGAATATTATTTGTCAAAGGTCTGTTGAAAAAACTGGATGCATCGCTAGTTTTTCCTACTTTTTCTTAGAAAAGTGTAATTATTTTTTTTCTCATAAAACTTATTATGCTTAAGTTCCGTGTTTCTTTTTATTAGTCATTCAGCTCGAAAACAAAAACATTTTTTTTTTTAATTTTGTGTAAATTATCAAAATTAGCACGCATCGAAATAACGATGAAATGATATCGATGGCCCTGTGCAATAACGACACAATTCAAAATTCAAAAAATAAAAACTGTTACTACTGTTAAGCGGCTCATGTCTCTAATCCTTGTCGAATCCATATCTAATCTTTTGTACTTACTTTTGCAATCCTTACTGCTTATTTTAGTGAGGGATGGAAATGGATTAGGCAAGGGTTTGTAAGTAAATAAGTTGGCAGCCAAGTTCACAAATTAAATAAGAATTAATTCAAGGTGAATTTTATATCTACTGAGGAGTGGGACTTGGCATATAATATATTGTTTGTATAGTATCGAAAGAGCTTAACTCACATCGTCGCTGAAATTCAAAAAGCCGAAACTAACTAAAAATTCAAAATTCACTTTTTGATTGATTATGAGGCATTGCATCGAATCATAAGTCCCCACATCGTTTTAGGCAATACAAAAATTTAGTTAGTTGTGGTTTTTTGCATTTCAGCGACAATGTTAAATACGCCATTTTAAAATATTATTAACGATATGTCGAATATTTGCGTTCATTCGCCTCAAAAAATATATCAAAACTCATTGAGCGCATGGAATGGAACAACAAAACGGACTTGATGGCTTGTGGTACCGAGAGCGGTGAGGAATTCATTATGACTGGCTGCAACTAGGAAATGCCGAGCTCAGCTAACTAATAAAAAAAATTAATAACAAGCTATTCATTACAGGTGAACCTTTCCAAGAAGTCACCCGGGAACTAAGCAGATCTGAGACCTTTATCGTCCGTGATTCCAATAATTCAAATTATTATAAAAAACGGGGTACCTTCTTAACAAAATAACAAATTCTGCTGGCAGCAACGACTTTCAAAACAGAATTTTCTTCGAAATTTTTATTCCTAGAAAATGACAATTGATTTGCCATATCAACCTATTCACAACGTCTCCAAATTCTGAAACAACCAAAAGAATTAGTTCTCCAAATTGGAACACAACGGTGTTTAAAGAACGATGTTGTCATGATGCTAGATTGTGAAGATGAAAGTCAGGAGGATGCATCCGACATTTGCAGCCCCGATGCAATTCGCAAAAAGGAATTATTGCACCGCAATAAAAAATAAAGAAATATAACTGAAAGTCCTCTCAACTGGTGCAGCGTCAATCGAAAAGAATTTACAATTTTGTCAAGTTTAAAGTTTTTCAAGTTTGTCGCCTCGAGCGAGTAGTTATTTAGTGGCGCAAGTTTGATGTACGACCCGTTAGGAAACAGGCTGTAACCCGAAAAGGCAGCAAAATTACTCTTTCTTAAATACAATACTAAATAAAAAAACATTATTAAAAATTACTAACTTTTCCATTTTTATTTACCTAATCCACTTAGCGTACTCACCAAAATTATTTCTTAAAAATATTTGACAACCGCATTCCACATTCGCAACATCCCTAGTACAAAGTACCCAGCGGGAAAATGTAATGTATGGTAATTGTTAAACTTTAAACGAAAAAATAAACTTTATTTATTTTGCAAATTACAAATTTTATTAAGAGGTCGAAATATGAACACGTTCGCTGTCGCTGAGATCCGTATGAGAAGAGCGAGAAAAAAAGGAAAAGAAAAAGCAATAAAGCGATTGACATATGGCATTGGAACATTAGCGCATGGTTGTATCAACGCAGAGTTGCATTCCTCCGTAACATTCCGCCCACCTCGTCCACTTGCTGTGACGAAATTTCAGAGGAATGGCCGCCCACCATATGCGTCCCTTTATCTTCAATTGGGAGTACAATCAACTTCGAAATAGCACGTTTTAAAACAGACGACGCTGTGCGTATAGTTGCTACTCGAACGACACCATCGTCGCCTGGATGAACTTCAATTATGCGTCCAAGCGGCCAATGAGTAGGAGGAGCACGCTCATCGCGTAACAGCACCAAATTTCCAACCTTCAGATTGTCTTTGCGTTGAAACCATTTATGCCTGACTTGTAGTTCTCGTAAATATTCATAACTCCATCGCTTCCAAAAATCTTGCTGCATTTGTTGAACTTGTTTCCACCTTTTGAGTCTGCTTGTATCAACTTCGAGTAGGCTAGGTTCGGGTGTAGCTAAAATGGGCCCGCCCACCAAAAAGTGCCCAGGGGTGAGTGCCGATAGGTCGTTCGGATCATCAGTCAAAGCACACAGCGGCCTTGAGTTAAGCACCGCTTCGATTTGCTTTAGCACCGTGTAGAATTCTTCGAACGTCAGCGTTGCGCTACCTATTGTGCGTTTTAAATGATGTTTTGTGCTTTTGATGCCGGCCTCCCATATACCTCCAAAATTCGGAGACCCTGCAGGTATAAAGTGCCACGAAACCCTCGAGTACTCATAGCACTAGCTGCTGTTTCAAGTTGCTTTCGCAATGCAGCGTGGTGTTCTCTTAACTCTGCATTCGCACCAACGAAAGTCGTAGCGCAATCACTATATATGTCAGAGCTATATCCACGCAGAGAAAAAAATCGGCGTAGCGCAGCGAGAAACGTTTCAGTACTCATGTCGCTAACGAGTTCCAAATGAACGGCTCGCGTACTACAGCAAACAAAGAGAGCTACGTAGCCTTTGTAGCTGTGGTGACCTCTGCCTTTCGTAGTACGAATAGAATAAGGACCGCCGTAGTCCAACCCACGTGACTGAAGGCTCTTGAAATATTGCAGCGCGGCGCAGGAAGGCTACCCATAATTTGCGTTGCAGCAGTGCTACGATGTCTAATACAACGAACACAGCTGTGGATATAACGCTTGACAGCCGAACGAGAGTCGATGATCCAGTATCGTCGTCTTAAAAAATTAAGTGTTGATTGAACTCCTCCATGCATGGTACACTCATGGGCTTGAGCTATTAACAATGTGCACAAGGCGTTGTCCTTTGGCAATATGACGGGAAAACGTTCGTATATTGGTATGGTCGCATTTTTAAGGCGCCCATTGAGCCTTATAAGTCCGTCTTCGTCTATCATCGGGTTAAGCTTAAGTAGCTTGCTCCTACGACTTAATGGCTTACTGCAACGAAGACACGCAACTTCATTAGTAAAGTGAATAGTTTGAACATACCTGATCCAAAACTGTAGTGCCTCAGCTCTTTCTGCTGCCGTACACCACGATGTCCGATCATGAGGTTGTTTTAGGCGTGCCGCAATGAATCGACGACACCAAGATGTCACCGCCAGCAGAGTGTTGATGTTCGAATATTTTTCTAGTAAATGCGTAGTAGCGAATATGTCTGTTGCGGTTCGGTTGTTGCTAGTGATGTTATGACTTCAAGATTCGAAGATGCAGTGATGACATTCTGCTGTGGCCACTTATCTTCGCCATGATGCAGCCAATCGGGCCCGTTCCACCACATTGCTAAATTGGCAAGTTGCGATGGAAATACTCCGCGTGATGCAATGTCTGCCGGATTAGCCTTAGTTGGGACGTATCTCCATGAGTCAATGGGTACCAGTTCCTGAATTTGAGAAATTCGATTGCTGACGTATTGCTTGTACTGACCCGGCCGCGAACGAATCCAACTGAGAGTTGTTTTTGAGTCTGACCAACAGTAAATTTTACTGAGTGGAAGTTGCATAGTTTCAATGAGTTTGGCCGCAAGCTTCGATGCCAAAAGAGCCCCATTCAACTCCAAGCAGGGCACCGTAATTTTTTTTATTGGAACAACCTTGGTTTTAGCTGTGAGAATGGTCACCCTACATACACTGTCTGTTGTTTCCACGCGAAGATATGCAACAGCGGCATACGCTAAAGTTGATGCGTCAGAGAAAACATGCAGTTGAAAGTTGTCAACTGCCGGTGTAACGCCTATCCACCTGGGAACCCGCAGATTTTGAACTTTATGAAGCTCTTCCCGAAATCGTCGCCATTCATCCTGCATCGGGTTTGGAAGCGGATCATCCCAATTGCAGCCTGAAATCCAAAGCTGCTGACAAAGCAACTTGCCGGTTATGACAATTGGTGCTAAAAAACCTAGGGGATCGTATATTTTTGCCACATCGGAAAGTTGTTGGCGTTTGGTAATGAATCCAGACACAGGTGTAATATTGACTTTGTATGTCAGGCTATCAGTGTCACAGAGCCAATAGATTCCAAGCGCCTTAGTCTCCCGATCCAAATTTAAGTTACAGCAGGTATCTGGTTGTATGTCGTCGGAGGAGAGATGTTGCATAAACTCGTTGGAATTCGAGCTCCATTTGCGAAGGTTGAAGCACCCACGATGCAGTAACTGTCGTAATTTAGATTGATTGTCGATAGCTTCTTCGACTGTGTCACCGCCATGGAGGCAATCATCCACATAAAAAGATTCCTTAAGAATTTTGGACGCTGTTGGAAAATCTGTTTCCTCGTCTTCGGCTAGGGTGTTCAGAACTTTAATTGTTATATACGGAGAGCATGTTAACCCATAGGTCACTGTGAGGAGTCGATAAGCGGTCGGCTGTTCATCTCCGCCTCTCCATATAATGCGTTGCATATCGGCATCCCGCCGATCGACTCGTATTTGTCGAAAGCACTTCTCTATATCCGCCATGAATCCAACCCGATGCATTCTCCACTTTAATATGATTGTACTTAAGTCATTTTGCAGCTTGGGTCCAACATGAAGGCAATCATTCAAAGATAAACCACTTTTGTATTTTCTAGACCCATTGAATACAGTTCTTAACCTCGTAGTCGAGCTTCCTTCTTTGTATACACCATGGTGGGGAATGTAACAAGCATACCGTGGCTCCTTATCTTCGCATATCTGCTCCATGTGGCCAAGAGCGATATATTCGTCCATGAACTCATTGTATAACTCGTTCATCTTTGCATCGCGTTGAAGACGATGTTGCTGGCAAGCATATAATTTGATTGCGTCGCATTTGGAGTCAGATAGTGCGGACAAGTCGGAGTCCTCTTTAAATGGGTACCGAATGTGATACCGACCGACGTGGTCCCTGCGTACCGTTCGTTTAAAAAACTCCTCACAATAAATCTCATCCTCTGTCATCTTGGATGGAGAAGATATGTCATCCATTTGATTAAATTTCCACATCTGCTGTACCAACGTATTTAGTTCCGCAGTGGCTGTGGCACATAGTCTTGCTGATAGCTGCCGACTTACTCCTACGGGTAAGCGACCGTAGACGACCCACCCTAGATGAGTATTTTGGGCAGTGGAGTCCCCGCACTTGGAACGCTTGAGTTCGTTGCACAGTAGAGCGCCATAGATATCTGCTCCGATGATGATGTCGATTGACCCTGGCTCGTAAAACTTCGGGTCTGCTAAGCTGAGACCAAGAAAGTCACTGTACGGAGTTGGGTCAATTCTATTCGACGGCATATTCTGTCCTACACGAGAAAGCACGAGAGCAGAGCACTCCATGCTGAAATTAGGTTCGATGAGGGAACACACTGTGAACTTAACCAAACTCTTCGATTCACCCACAGTACTCCCGCCTACTCCAGAGATTGTAACCGAAAGGCGGTTCTTGCGTAGATGCAAACGCTGAACGGCAAACTCGCTTATAAAAGATGTTTGCGAACCATTGTCCAAAAGGGCTCGAAGTTTCATAAAATGCCCGGAAGAGGACCGCACACCAATTCGTGCTGTTGCTAATAGAGCTGGCGCAAGTGTTGCTGTTGTTGCGTCGATGGGTTTTTGCTGAGCCATGCTGTTGGTGCATGTAAGGCGTGGACTAGTAGTGCTGGACAAAGATGATAAACTGTCGTGAAGAATTGTATGGTGTTTCTGCATACACTTTTGGCATGCGTATGTCGAGGCACAATCACTTGCTGTGTGGCGTGCCTTAAGACAGTTTCGGCAAAGCTTAAAGTTTGTAACCACATCAAGTTTTGCACTTGGCGTTTTTCTGCGAAACTCTGAACAGTACATCAACGCGTGCTTCCCAGCACAGCATGGGCATCGACCAAGGCTTGTTTGATGACTACGAATAGCCGCGTGCTGAGGCGGCTTTGGAGCTGACTCCTTGGGTTTTACTTTTGTGACAGCAACCATTGCTTCTAGGCCCTGAATGCGCTTCTCGAGGAAGGATGTCAGAGCATCATACTCAGGCAATACGTCTGAAGAAGCAAGGGACATCTCCCAGTCCTTAACTGTTACTGGATCTAACTTTTCCGTCACCAGGAAGACGAGCCAGTCGTCCCAGTGATTCGTTGGACGACCAAGTTGCTTTAAAGCACGTACAGACTCGGTAACATTATCAAGTAGTTTGCGTAGATTCACATCGGACTCTGTTTGTACTGGGGTTAGCTTGAGTATGTTGCAAAGATACGATTTTACCATGCGGCGTTTGTTGTCATATCGCTTTTGCAACATATCCCAAGCAATTTGGAAATTATCTTCCATTACATTTAAATTTCGAAGCATAGCTTCAGCTTCACCTTGCAAGCTACCTTTGAGATAATGCATCCGTTGAACATTGGATAGTGACGAATCCTGCACAATACACGTGAAGAACAGATCTTTAAAACAAAGCCACTTTTGGAATGACCCGTCAAATTTGGGCAACTCAATCTTAGGTAGAATAGACTTAGGCGCGCTAATTTGACCAGGTAGCGTAGAATTCAAAGCCGGCATTGCGTTGCCGGTAAGCCGTTGGCTGTCGTTTACGTTGTGCGACATTTCTTCAATCTCGTCATGCAGTTCACCCAACGCGTCGCAGTATGCCGATTCGATTGCCGTATATCGCTCCTCTGAGAGTGCCTTTTTAACCGCGGCCTCATCAGCTGAAGCGTCCATTGAAGAAATGTCATCGCGAAGTGCACTATATTTTTGCCAGTAATCTACGAGCAAATTTCTTCTGGCTATGAGGAATCCCTTGGTTTTCTTCTGCTTCCCAGCCTTGCGAGAATTCGCCGAGAAATTGAAGATCAGTTTGGCGATGGCTTCTTCTTTCGACAACGGCATGTTCATGTGGTAGTCGCGATATAATGAGGTTATATAAAAAAAAACAATCTTATTAAATCACGCAAATCTTTATAAGATATCTAATTTAGGTTGCACAGGGAGTTAAGGTTCCCCGGAAGGGATGCCAAAATGTTAAACTTTAAACGAAAAAATAAACTTTATTTATTTTGCAAATTACAAATTTTATTAAGAGGTCGAAATATGAACACGTTCGCTGTCGCTGAGATCCGTATGAGAAGAGCGAGAAAAAAAGGAAAAGAAAAAGCAATAAAGCGATTGACATATGACATTGGAACATTAGCGCATGGTTGTATCAACGCAGAGTTGCACTCCTCCGTAACAGTAATCGAAAAAATAGTCAGTAAAACAGCCTTTTCACATTCGAAAACGCATTTTTCCCTCACTCCGATGTCCTAAGAAAAGTATGGCATTCAATTTTGCATTTCCTAGTATCGAGGAATAAATGTAATTTAATATGAATTCTTTGGGACTTTTTAGATACATTAGAATGCTGATTACGTAGTAAACAGAAGTAGAACCTAGAAGTCATAAGAAATTCATTACATTATTTATCACACATGTAATGCAATACTTCTTTCCGCACTGGATTTTCACCAGAGCTGTAGGCACGAAGGAATTGTGCATGGACCCTAAGGCAGGTTCTTAACCTCGCCTGACTTCAAATATAGTTGCATATGAGAGTTTTATTACATAATTTGATAATTCTTGAGTTAATACTTAAGCTCTCAAAATTAATTTTTTGCATTTTAGTGTTTTATTTTTTGAAGTTGGTTTTTAACCTGTCATATTGCCAAAACAATCTGGCCTGCCGTAAACGCCCAACGTACTACTTAAGTCTCTACCTAATCTAAGGAGGCAGGACATTGGCATAATAACTGGAGTTCTCACCGGACATTGTCGGATTGGATTACACGGAGCCGGACTGAGCGCAGCATGGAACGACTACTGCAGAAGCTGCATAGTTGAGGACGAAGAGGAAACCATCCAATATCTTCTCTGCCATTGCCCGGCTCTATCAAAACGGAGAACAAAAGCTCTTGAAAGTTATTTCTTCAATTATATCGATAATGGATATATGTTAGAAGCCTAAGCGCCTTTTTGCTAAGCACCAAGTGGTTTATAGCGGAACGGGGATAAATACGAACTTCATGCGGTATCACAAAGAACCCTGAGTCAAAGTGAGTCCACATAGGACTGCCATCCAACCCAAACTTTACCTACATTGTTTAACTTTACTTCTGGTATAAAAACGATACATTCAATTCGGATTTTTGTTTAACTCGGTATTCAAAGATTCAGGGAGTCCAAAATCGGTACTAGAGGAAGAAGTCTTTAGTTGTTGTGGGCTGCTATTGGGAGGTTTATTTTTTGCTTAACTCTAATCGTGATTTCGTTTCTAACAAAAAATGTTGCCCTTGCACTGTGCAAAATATGTTTGGTATTGCACTGAACCCTTTGAAAAGGCATGTTCTTGCCTTCTTGTCCTTGCTCAGCTCATCATATTATCGTTTTAAGCAACCATCTGATTTTCAGGACAACAATCTCCCCTGATAAAGCCTTCTTATCCTTGCCCAGCTCACGCATTTCTTATATTATCGTTTTAAGCAACCATCTGATTTTCAGGGCAACAACTCAAGTAGCGCACTGGTGTATAAATTGGTGTAAATTCATGGATTTTGGTACAAATCTGATTAGATTGAATAAAAAAAGAACATTTTGGTGTATTTGTTATTCCAACAGTATTTCTTTCAAATCAAAATTCTACCTTTAACGTTTTGGTACTATTTATTCATTGAGATTAGTACGAAAACTACACCAGCTCCTAAAATGCACCACTTTTTTCATTTGGTTCCCAAATAGCCCCGCGTTAACAAATGTCATTAAAATTATTCAGGCGACATTCTGAGTAGTGATGTGCTGAATTGTCGGTACCCAATACTTGAAAAAAATTTCGGTTCCCAATACTTCCTTTTCGGTACCCGATACCGATTCGACACACTAAACTTTCGTCATTATATCTGTGCCGTTCAATTAAAGTAGCTTAAGTCACTTTAGATGGTTTGACTTTGAATTAAAAAATAACCAGTTTCCTTTGAAATTGTTTTATATTTTTATTAAGATTCTATTATAGGGGCATCTTGAACTACATCTTTGGCTAGTTAAACGTCAAAATATTGTTTGCAATGAAATGTTGATTTAAAGGGAAAAGGACCTATCTCGACATAGGCTACTTTTGGGGGAAAAAAATTATTGATATTTTATTTATTATTTATATTTATTATTATATATTTTATTATTGATATTTTGACATCGCGTAAAAACCCAAAATGTACAAATAAGACGGTGCTTTCTCAAGAGATGAGCAATGTGTTTGTATGTATGTAATTAAGTGAAGCAAGCATAATGTGTGCGGCGAACAAGGCTGGCAATTAAATCTGCACAATACTGATCAAGGCGAATTTAATAAGGTGGTGTTAGCCGTATATAAGTAAAAAATTACACTAACAAATTATACGCAGATATTCATACTGTCATTAGTATGAACTACAACAACACGTAATTTTGATGTAATTACCTTATTAAATACGCCCTGATACTGATGTCGCAAAACACACTCTCGCCTTCTCTTACTTATCGCAACCGTCTTCCCAACTGCAATAGTTCTGGTGGCAGTATTATTTATTTTTAAAAGCTGACACTATATGTATGTCTACATATAACTCATATTTTTGCCTGTTGTGCGCTTTTATTAGAAATTCCCACATTTCGGTACCGAGTATCGAAAGTATTTGATACTTTTTAAATCGGTACCGAGTATCGATCAATACTTAAAAGTAGCGACTCAGCACATCACAAATTCTGAGAGCAATTGACAGTGGCCCAAAGAATTCACCAAAAAATGAATATTGAATACACCACACAGTAGCTTTGTTTCTTTACAGATAGGCGCATTTACACAAGGTAGTGTTAGCCGAATATAATTAAAAAATTACAAAAACAAATTACAAGAAACACATAATTTTCACGTTATGCGGTGAAAAATTCAGCTGTTNCACAAATTCTGAGAGCAATTGACAGTGGCCCAAAGAATTCACCAAAAAATGAATATTGAATACACCACACAGTAGCTTTGTTTCTTTACAGATAGGCGCATTTACACAAGGTAGTGTTAGCCGAATATAAGTAAAAAATTACAAAAGCAAATTACAAGAAACACATAATTTTCACGTTATGCGGTGAAAAATTTAGCTGTTGCCCCAATATAAGTGAGGTTAGGCACAGCTACTTTGATTTGCTTCTTTTACATATGTTGGTATCTTCTATATATGTAAAATAATAGCCGTTTTCGTTGTTCGGAGTTAACTCAAAAACCACTGCATAGATTTCAGTCAAATTTTTAGAGGTTATACCTTGCATATATGGTCCTATTATAGGCTACCAGAAAACTCGCTAGGTGGGGCTGGGGTAGAGTTATTTATAAAAGGCGTATTTATAAACCAATTTCGTTCAAATTTAAAACGTGTGCTACGTATGCGAAAAATATACCAGCTAGGTGACGCTGGAGTCGAGTTATTTATAAAATTCGTATTAATGAACCCATTTCTTTTAAATTCTAAGTGTAAGCTACCAGCATGATTGAAAATACGTTTACCAAAAATAGACCCGCTAGGTGGCTTTATGAACCGATTTCGTTCAAATTAAAATTATAAGCTACCTGCATGATGACAAAAGCACGGACCCGATAAAAGCCCTATTTATGAACCGATTTTGTTAAAGCAAATTCGAAACGTTTATTACTTTCATGATGATTTGTTTTCATTCGAAACATATATATATGTACAAAGTGGTCCAATTTTTGTATGGGGAAACAATTTTCATTGTAGAAAACGGGGCACCCCGTTAGTTTTTTCCTTTTAATATTTGTAATATCTATACCAACTTTCAGTTTTCTAATGCAACTAATACACGGTGCTCAATGACCTTGAAATGTGCTGCCGGATTGCTGCGAAACTGACAAAAAAATTGGTGATTTTTATAAAAAGGTAACAGCCATGACAACCGAAACTTGTGATATTTTTTTAAATTTGAAATGTTCTTAGGTTACTTAACCAATTCTTTGATTAATATATATACCCAATACTTCTAGAATAAAATATGTGCATCATGAGCATTTTCTAAATGTATACATAGAAACGTAAGGTTTGGACCAGCACCTCTTTCGGCAAAAAGAAAAATTTTGGGAGGTGCCCCAAACCCTGTCTTGGACAATTTTTTTTGGACCACTCTAAAGTACATACATACATAAAGTTACATAGGGTTACTTATAAAAGTCGTATGTATTTATTAACCGATTTCGTTCAACTTCGCAAAGTGTACAGGTAGCTTACTGAAAAATTCGTTTCGTAAAAATGAATCCGCTATATTTTCTAAAATCTGATTGAAAGTCATAATGCTTATTCATTTCATGACAAGCAGTGGTTTTGCAGAAAAGGTACCTAATGGATTGCGTTGCAGCCGAAATATATAGAAACCCACACGGGGTTTGGTCTGCTTTGGCCCTATATTCATCTTAGACGAATTTACTTTTCATATGGCTAAATAGAGGATCCGTTTAAGTGTGCATGTAAAGGCCGAAACATTGTGTAAGCGCACCTTCTTGGCCCTCCTTTAACTGAAAACTGGTTTACGGACCAATGCTAAAGTTGCAAGAGCATAGAAGATCTCTCAGGTGGAAATAAGACCATCGAAAGGGATTAGTATTCCATATGGTATCACAGCGCTACTATTCTTGGCCTATGTGTGAGGAGGATTCTGTTCTTTATTCGTTTCAATTTAAGCTAAAAATTTTTACTTTACAGACCGCTTTTGCTTTTAAACGCTATTTTTGTATTGGCCACCGCAAAAGATCTTATTAGGCGCTGCGAAGCAGGCGGGCATTGGCTAGTTTTTTAATAAAAATGAGCGATTTATTAAATTTG